GTTCATCTTTTAAAAGCTTACATTTTGCTCACTACAATTTGTATGATTTAATCCAAAGGTCCAATCCAATCTGTATATATTAAACCGTTTTCGGTTTTTCAACACGGCTGGCATGAAAATAGTTGAATTGATGACTTGGGTCACTTTTGAAGGAACTGATTTCCTGGAATTGTACTATGTTCAGTTATTTGATACGTTGTTTTAACAATTTATTGTTTTATGTCACAGAAAATTCCGCATTTATCAAGAAAAAATATCTCGTTGGATTAAAAATTGTCGTATATCAACCATCGTGTGAGTTTTGACATTTGAATTTGTTAAAATCTTTGAAAATAAAATAGTGAACATTTTTTGAAAAGCATTGAATAAAAAAAAGATGTTTCATCCCTGCACGGGATCGAACCGTGGACCTTTGGATTACCTTCGATTAGAAGTCCAACGCGCTAGCCACTGCGCTACAGGGACTTGCTTTTTAACTACGCCAGAAACAGTTCATCCTATCTCTCGAATGCCAGCACATAAATTCCATGCAAATATTTAAAACAAATGTGAAATTGGCAAACAAATGCGCATGCAATTTCAAATCAAAAGGAAGAAATTAATCATTTCAATCACCGTGGAGAGAAGAAATTTCTTTTATATGTGATATAAAAATATTTTTTTTATTAAAAGCTTCATCAATCCATGGATATCATACAAACCAGAAAAACAAATCTCAGATTTTTTAATTTATTTATGAAAAATTCATATCGCGAAAAAAGATGGTGAAAAAATGCAATAAAAAGTACATTTTATCGAAGATGCCTGCTAGTTGAAAAAGCAATTCGCTATTATGATAAAACGAAAGCAGACGCCATCTATATGGTAACGGTTGAACTATTCAAAGACTATAAGACTTTCATATATGATTTTAATTTAAATTGTTTTTTTTTCTGTTTTTCCTAAAAATACATAAATTCCGCTCTAATATGTGTATATTTTCACAGAAATCAACGCGGATCCGAAACGCTCCTGCAAAACTGCAAGCAGCCACTATTCACGTATATGACATCACCAAAGTACTGGGAATCAACAAAAAATTAGCTGAAAAATATATCATTGATTCAGACAATTTAACGGGTAAAATTTGCCATGGTTCCAGTCTTTTGAACATAAAAATAAATAAAAAACTTTTTTAAATGCAGAAATGTGTGAGCGTAATCGAGTAGTAGCCGAGAAGTATGGTAATTCTGATATAGTTCAATGTTGGAAATTGGCTCATTTGATAGCAACATCGATATCAGCCTCAAACGACTCATTGGACGATGAAATATTTTCACAGCAAATTCCATTTCCAAAAATTTTGCTCGAGTCATTGTAAGTAAAGTCGCTCAATGGAGATGAAAAAGAACAAATTTTGTGTATTTTGGGTCATTTACACTCTCTATGAAAAATACCAAACCATTCGGGGCAAACCTGGGCCTCTGCAATACTTGTCAACACCAACGGTTTAGTTTTTTTCAGAGAGAGTGTACATTTTAGAATTTGAAACAATCTTTCCATTTCTAGAATAAGTCATTTTGCGCAGAAATGTGACGTTCAAACAGCGTCAATGTTGTGTTGTGCCTTTGGACGGCATTGCCCATCGAATTTGGATTTATCAAGAAGTTCAAGCATGAGCGGAAAGTCACTCAATGCGAGTGTAAGTTGATATACGAACTAAGTTCTTTATATGACACCGTACGGAATCTTGAGAATTTTTCAAAATTTTTGATGCACCAAACATTTGATTTTGTAATAATTTCAACAAATGTAAAGCTAGATAACTCTTTAAAGTTGATGTAGAAACTTTAAAATCGATTTTAACTATGGCTTTTGTTTGGTTATAATTTTTGTATCTAGTGTATATTAACTCACTATTGTATATAGCTTATAATTCGGTAGTGTGTTTGTATTTTCTCTCTTGAATATTTGGCATTGATTCACAGATTCATCATTTTTGGTGCTTGGTATTCAACTCTTATCAAGTATCAACTCTTTTTTTATTCACAATTCCGTTCAATTTTCCACACAAACACATATACACAATACATATACATACACATCACCATTGTTACATTCACAGAAATACTTAAAATCAACCGAAAACATCATGCAATGCCTAATTGCATTAAATTTGTTGATTTTGATTTTTTATATGTGTTTTTCATTTTCTGCACTGACAAACAAAAAAAAAATCGCATAATTTTCTTATCTTTTGTGGTGTTTTTGGAACATATTTTGTAGCATTTACTAAGTAGTATGTATCATCGCATTCTTAAGGTAATTCACATTTTTTCTATTTGCTTTCTTCTTCTTTTCTTTGAAATTTGCACATTGTTTGTTTAACTGTGGCAATAGTTGTTTAGCTATTTTATAACTTACTCATTAGCGAAACGTATTTTATTTCTTGGAACAATTTTTGTATCATTTTTGACCTTTTATACCTATATTTGCATAATTCATCATAAAACAGCCGAGTGGATCTCCCTATCATACAATTTTGCCGATTGATTCGCAATCAGGCCAATCATGGAATTTTATTGCGCAATGGAAACAATACCGAAGTAACTCGTGGTCAGATTCGTTGGATGATTGTCGCGTGGTTCCTGCACTGGACATCAATCGGTAACACATGACCTTTTTGTTTTGTGCTACAAAATTAATGCTACAAAAAAATAATAACTATTTTTTCAGATCTCTGTTGGGTGACTCTCAACGACACTTGTATGACTGTTACAAGCGCTTATACGCTGAAGGTGTGGTAACTATAAGACTATCATATATGATTTCAATTTAAATCGTTTTTTCTTCTATTTTTCCTCGAAATACATAATCAGCATTATATCGTTGGCATTTGTTGGTGCCACGAGCCAAAGTTTTGAAATATCTCAGTTCGAATCCGGAAATTTATCGTGATGTTGAATATGTGACGGAGTGTACGTCATGTTCACGCGTTACCAAGGCACCAGTGTGCAAAGAATGCCGCAAACCACTACTCAAGTGCGTCTTATGTCGATTGCCTGTCAAGGGATTAGCAAATGCTTGTTTGAATTGCGGCCATGGCGGGCATACTTCACATATGAAAATCTGGTTTTCGGTATGACAAGAAATCAGTTCAAAATTGAATCGTTTTTAATTTTTAAAGTTA